ACATAAGTGAAAACCAAGGTCCAAAGAATCTATTGCAAATCAGAGTTCCTGATAACTTCCTAAAAGGGCCTTCTAGTTCTAAGACACAACTTCCTCTAAAGCCTATTTTAAAAGCATACAGATATATATGCAAGAAAAGTAAGGGTTTATTAGCATAAAAGACATGGCTCTATTTAAAGTAACTAATAAAGCAAAAATTTATAATATTGAAATGACTTCCTTTTTCCTGTCCTAAGCTGTAACATGATGACCCAACACTAACTGCTGATGGTGCATCTCAAGCAGCATCACCCTCATTTAAGCATTGTGACACAAAGCTGTCAATAAACACTGGCAACTGCAAGGACATGAGCTGTCAATAGCGTCGGCAACTATAAGGAAAGACACAGGCAGCACAGTCAAGATGTGCTCAGAGGCTCATGCAAGAGTGACTTACGAAAGCATCGATCAGGCTTTGGCTGATTTATTATAAATGAAAAGAAATCTGACAAGAGTGTGTCAAAAACCAATTATGAAAATAAAAGTTCAGGAAAAATATTCAAACAAATGGAACAAAGTACAGGAGATCTAGTCTCAAAGTTAAAAACGAATTTTTTGGTTTTATTTTTCTTGAGATAGGGCTTAACGATGTAACTCAGACTGGCCTTGAACTTACTACATAGCCCAGGTTGGCCTTGAACTTGCAGGGATCCTCCTGCCTCGGCCTCCCAGGTGCTAGGATCATAGACCCACACCATCACACCCAGCAAGAAAAGATTTTGAATTCGAACGGTGTGGCTCAGTGATAGAACACTGTCTAGCACTGGTTCAATCCCCAGTGCTATTAAAAGAAAAAAAAAAAAAGATTTAACTGTTTATAAGCAAAACATATAAAAAGAAGCTATAGACTTGCCCAAAGAAATATTTTAAAAAGCTATTATACAACCTCTGAAATGTATAACTGAAGAGTTTTCCTAACTCACATATCAACTATTGGTTTTTACCCTAAATTTCACCTACTGAAAATTCTTACCTGAAATTCTGCTGTTTTCGGGTTGCTTATATGAACTGCATTTGTTGCAGAAATAGCCAAGCCAAGTTTATCAGCAATATCTTCTTTAGAGCACTAAGAAGCACACAGGAAATACATCAATACACAAAAGCAATGACTAAATTGAGCTTTCAAAGCTACTGAGGCTAGCAGTCAATTTACAATGGTTCACAGCAACATATACTCTATAGAAATCGGTTACAGTAAGCTTAAAATCATATTACTTTTAATAATAATTCATTAATTTTAAGACCGCAGAAGATATAATTTAGCATTAATAGCTGCTATTATGAATTCCAGCCATGATGTAGAGTTAAAGTACATTTTTCATGTGGAAATGGTGGTACAATTTACACCCAGGTCCCTCCTGAGCTCGCTTCCTGCCCACCTGTCCAGGCTAATTTCCTGATCACCTACCTATTCCGTGAGCCTTGTACTTTTGCCTGCCTTTAGCTAAAATAAAATGCCTTCCCAGCCCCACAAAGCAGCCATTCCTACAGTCTCTGCCTAAATGACTTCTCTTCCACCTCTTCCATAAAAATATCCCAAATGACTCCAGTCAGGAATTCTCTCTCCTTGAAGTCCCATGCCTTTTTTCGGTTACCCAGAGTCCTTGGTTTCCCTACAGTGACCTGTGGCAGAGGGTGAGACCAAGTGAACTCAAGCAGTCTGAATTTTTTTTTTTAATTTTGTGTGTGTGTGTGTGTGTGTGTGTGTGTGTGTGTGTGTGTGTGTGACCAGCTCAGCCCACCAGGGGGCGGAGCTGGCTGGCATGTGGTGCTGGGGGATTGAACCGCGGTCGCTGTGCTTTGCTAAGCTTGTTCTAAGTAGGTGCTTTAGACCACTGAGCCATCTCACCAGCCCTAAGCAGTCTGAATTCTGCCCAATGGTCTTCCAAGCTGTATTATTTAACATTCCTTACACAAACCTGAAAAGTTCCTAATAACAAACTGTTTTTTAAACAAACTGTTTTAAGCACCCATAAAACAAAGAGTGCCTGTTGTTCTGTGAGAGAGCTACAAAGCAGCCCTCAAGGACTAGTAGACTTATATGTCACCTAAAAGGAAAAGCACAGAGCAGCGTAAGGAAAAAGTAGAAAAAGCTCAATTTATGCTAATGTCAGCTCTAGTGATTCTTGCCATGCTCTCTTGGGCAAAAAGCCATGTCCAAGCACAGCACAAGACAACTTCTTGACCAGCTATGTCTGCAGAGACAGAATGTTTGACTGATGAACTAGAAAACTCGAAGCCTACACTAAAGATCTAGACAGTCCCTAAATACTCTAAAAGATCAAGGATTTCAGGGCTGGGGTGACTGGTGTGGGGGCAGTTTCCTATCCTCTCATAGGTCACTAAAGTGAAACCTATTTGAATACTCAAGAACTACACTCGAGGCACCACAAAATGCTCAGTAAGAAGAAGCCCTACCAATTACATACACATTTGAGTCTTTAGAATGGTCAGTCTGGTGGGGGAGGGACATTTCCTTCTGATTTTGTAATAAAATTCATTTCCTGAATTTCCTGATTTGTGCCTTTTATGTCAGCTTTTCAACTCAAAGCAAATGTTTGTGACCATGTTCAAAGACAAAGAACTAAGTTTAATGTGGAACAGCCCACAAAACCTTAACCAGGGGCGGCATCTAGTGGGCTGCCCTCTAGTACCCTTGACCAAATTAAGACCAAATATTTTAACTTAATCAATCTGGTTAGGAAACTCATTGTGAACCCTTAACACTTCCATGAAACTACACTACTTTGTCATCTGTCAGTAAGACTTTTTCTAGGTCTTTATTTTCTTCTGTAACTATAAAAAAATGCTTCAACACTTTTTCCTCAGAAATTGTATAATCCAAAGTAATGGTTATACGTCTAGAATCTGGAAACTGTAGCAATCTCTTAGATTTTATAAACTCATATAAGAAATATCAATATAGATAACTTAGATACTCAAAATAATGAGCTAAGTAGAAAAACTATTCTGAGACACACCAGAGCGAAGGTGAGCGCTTCTGTGAATCCCGCAGCTGCCAGGTCATATCTGAGGAGCTCCGTGAGCTTATTAAGAGGAAACTGGAAAAAAGAAGTTAGTCACTTCACTTCAGTAAAATCTGTGTCCGCATTTTTAAAGAGACTTATACAAACTTTCTCGTAGAAGACACCACCCTTCTCCCTGCTGCCTCCTCCATGCCGTCACCCCCACTACACGTCCGCACGCCCCACACCTCTCCTGTCAGTGCACGGGTTCTGCCACTGGCCTAAGCTCAGAAGTGAATCTCCCAGCTAGACATTCAACAAAGCCTGCACACTCAACACCTGTCTTCCTTCAAGGAAACGGTCTTCAGAGGTTTCAGCTTGCCCTAGTGATCTGGGCGTCTGCTTTGCGTCCTCTCCCTAGCAAACGCTCCTCATAGCAAAGTATATCCAAACACTGCGCAGTTACTATGTTCGGTTTTCTTGAAGCCTTCCTGACATTCAGTAATCAGTTTTTAACAATAAAGAGTGTTCTTTTAAGCGTGCAATCTTACTTGACTAGCTATGGTGTATGTCTTCGGGAGAGTCATCTGAATGTTGTTATACCCATAAGCAATCGCTGCATCTTCCACGATGTCACATGCGTGGATGACGTCAGCTCTGGTCGGAGGGATCTCCACTTCAATCTGATTCCCATCACCTATGACTTCTGACTTTAAATACATCCTGGTCAGAAGCTTGGCAATATTTTCTGGAGTCTCTCTGAAAGAAGAATGTATAAACCACACACACTGTTAGATTATGTAAAAAACATGTTTACATATTGTTTTAAAATATGCCACTATAGCCACCTCTGTTTTTGAGTCCCACTAGGCACCAAGGATCTGAGCTGACGCTGTATCATTTAACTTCTGAAGAATATCAAAACCCTTGTAAGCATTCATTCAAGAAAAATTAAATAGACCATGTGTACTGTTCCTAGAACTCTCCCAAACAGTAAGTAAATAAATGAAAATTTCAAAGCATACCTGATCCCAACCTTCTTGTTAATGAGATCAACTCTCACCATCTCCTTCCGGTAAGCCAGCTCCTGAAGGAGACAAAGAGACCGAAAGCCTAAATCACTCCCCCCGACACACAGCTTCAGACTCTACATTCAGTCACAGGTGTATTAGCCTTTGAAATACTAAAAAAAAACCCTGATGTCTTAAAACATCATAGAAGGGCCAGGGAGATGGCTCAGTAGAATAAGTGCTTGCCTGGCAAGAGCAAGGGTCTGAGTTCAATCCCTGGTTTTGCCAAAAAGAAAAAAAAAAAAAAATCATGGAAGAAGAAATGTACCGTTAGACTCACATAAGAACATTCCACTTGCCAGTTTTCATTTATATTGGAAATAAAGTAAAATGTCAAGTATTTTTCTCTTTTAGATGTCTATTTCCCATTTCCTACAGTAAATTACAACATTTTAAAGATGTTTATAAATCCTGAATAACATTTTTAGTCTCAATCTCAATCAAGTGGTCTGCGTATGACCAAGAAAGTGTTACAATGTATCATCTCTCACACCAAGTGCAATACTGTTTTCAAGTTCTCTCCTAACATTCCCAGGTGAGAAAACGAAATGATTAAGTCCCATCCCTCTGCTCCAGGAGCCCACAAGGGTGGGAGCGTCTCACGCATGGCGCCTCTTCCCCCTCAAATGGTACAAAATATTCCCCTATTAGATGAAGAACACAATGCACATAAAATGCAGGCTTTTCATCTTTGGACAGAACAAATACTTATCACCAAATTATAATGGCCAGTAGAAAAAAGCTCAAAGTATAATGGCCACTAGAAAAAAAGCTATATATTTAAAAAATCTATTTTGATACCCAAAATGAAGTTTTCAAAGCAGATATACTGGCACCAACTGGGTGTAAGACAGGCAGACTCAGGTCTTTGTAGCCAGCAAAAGTGGCACCAGAGATAATAAAGCCCCATCTGCAGGTTATCAAGATCCTCACTGGAATGAATGCGCAGTGGAGTCTGGGAGATACTAACACAAATGCTAATAATTACAATAGTAAAATAAATAAACAAAGAAAAACGTTATTGAAAAGTTACTGCAAGCCAGCAGTACAAGACATACTTTAAAGACAATCTTAGTTCATCCAGCAATACTAGTATTCTCATTTTATTTATTTATTTATTTATTTATTTTGGTGGTGCCAGAGACTGAATCAAGTATTCTCATTTTAGAGGTAAGCAATTTTAGATGAATAACTAGTCCTAAATCACAAGTGGTACTATATCCCATGCTCAGAAAAATGCATATAGGATAAGCATATTTAGTTAAGTGCATGTTTAAGCATGAAGTAACTAGTGAATAAATAATGACCTGTTAGACAAACTGAGAGGTTAGTTCCACAGCTCATACCATTAACCATGAGTCTCTGACTCTACCACTTCCATGTAATCCTCTTATTCCAGAACTTTATTCATTACCATAAGGTAATAAAAAATTAGAATGTAAGTCACCAAGTGACTTAACACACACGAGCAAGTGCTGCTGAAATCAGCTATACTGCCATACAGAAGAGAAAAATCTAAGACCAACACACGGTACTTACTAAAGCTACTGAGTCTTGGGGTAATCTGTTACACAGCAAAACCCAATGATGGACAGATACTAAAAAAAACCCTATTGTCCAAATCATTCAGTTATACCTCCAATGGTTAACACTTATTTTGACTCATAACTAATACTTTAGAATAAGATATGATGCTAAACACTAATGTTTTGGGGAAAGGGGAGGTTCTGCTCTTTGCAGGTTTTATCTACTTTAAAGACTATTTCACTAACTTATGCCCTGATTCGCTTCATAAATCACGTGGGAATAGTGACAAATCCAAAAGGAAAAGCTCATCAAAAAAGTCTTAACCAGAATCATAACCAAATGGCTGATAAGTCATGTGGGAAATGATATTAATCAATTAATAAATAATGCTTTTTACCAAGATCGTATATATTGACAATGACTCCTACTAGAAGTATACAACCTACTAAATTAGTCTCACTAATTCACTTTATAGGGATGGCCTTGTTAACTCAAGTGTGAACAGAACTAATTAGATTTGTAGGGCTAAGTAATCTTAAAAGGGATAAAATTATAAAATTCCTCAGTTAACTAGTTAATAAAGGTAAATCCTAAGACCTGTGGTAATGTAATCTCATTATACAACGAAGTGTGCTAGCAGATGCAGCTAGAAAGTCTGAATTTTAATCCTAGCTCCACCACTTAGCAGAAAAAGGCAGCCTACTAACATTTCAGTGCTTCAGAAACTTCCTAGTTAGACCTAGCAAAAGCACCCACCTTCACATGGTTACAGTGAGGATGAAATCCGCACAGCAAACACAGTGGGCCTGGTACAAAGGCCTCAGGGTGGATGGAAAAACTGACAGGAAGAACACCAGAGCCGCTGGTAGCCGCGCTATCATCACCGCCCATCACATCCTGAACACTTACCGGAAAGGTATGGGACTTTCCATTAGGAAAAACCACCTCAGCCGCTTCGACGCTTTAGGGGGAAAAGAAAGTAGCACATTTTTAAAAATGCATCATAAATCCTAGACATGCTATGGTTCATAAAATGTTCATTTGTCTATAACTTCAGCCACAACCCAATAAATCTATCACACCCTACCCTGCCATTTGGATTCATCTCTCTATACACAGTGCTGGACAACTTCCGGCAACAGATGCCACAGGGCGGGCAGCATTTTTTTAAGTGTTTACACTTACTTTAACAAACGTAAACAATGCTTTGGGAAAGAAAATCTTTCTGATACATATACACCACACATGCTTCACTCTTAAATACACCTCTCCCTCTTGGCCCAGCGTGCCTCCTGCCGTCTTCTGTCTTCTGCATTCTCAAATCCAGCGATCCCTAAACACAGCTTACATGCCGTTGCCACCATGTGGCTTTCCCAGATTGCTGCAGCTGGCCAGAACCTGCCCCTACAAATGCCAGAACAGCACCAAACTTTTCTTCTGGAAACCACCTTTTACCACATGTTATTACTCAGACATACATTTGCTCTCCCAAAGCACACCGTGTTCTAGTTACAGGAACATTCTTCATCACGTTATTTTGCCCAAGACCTTAGTATCTTGGCTTCAGAACAGCACACTATCAATAAAAATTGTAAAGGAACTTACGTAAATTGATTTTCACAATATTCACTGAACATGGTGACAATAATATCAAGGACTATTTTTGCCTGCAAAATGAAAAAAGTAAGTACTATTGTAATCTATAAATATACATTTTCTTCAGTCAGGTGGTAATGAATATTAAAAAGTTTAGTTTCCAAACACCTGAAAAGGATCTTTACATGTACATTCTAAGAAAGGGAGCGGAATAAGAACTTCTGCGCCAGCCTGTTATTTTCAGGCGTCTGCATTTGTGCAGTTCTCCAAAAGTTACAACCCATGACTGAGACACATCATTTAGTTCTCCTTCCCCCAACCTTCATTCGACAGCTTGCAAGAGAGACAACTGG